AAGGAGAACTCAGTGAAAAAGTAGTGAAGTTTGATGTGGCCAAATGGTGCCACAAATGGTGATAAGAAAATGTCCAAACTGTGCATTGGACTATTTTTGACCTATGATTATCTTAAATAAATGAAAGTAAATTTGGATGCAAATTCACATACAATGATAGAAGAGCAATAGTTTGTATCGCTTAACTCGATTTGTTTACATTTGTTATTATCTGTTTCTTTGGTAACAAAACACGTCGAAAACGACCCAGAAATCGTCGCCATAGGAATTTGTATGGCGATGATTGCTGCGTCGTTTTCGGCGTGTTTTGTTACCAAAGAAACCGATAATACATGGGTCTATTTGAAAAGTGACGCGAGACTTCTCCGTACACAATGTCAATTAGCGAGCTGAAGTGGTGTGCGATGGCGCCATTGAAGCATTAAGGGCTGAACACAATAGACCTTTTCGACGTTTAATCGTCTTTCTCTATCTAACACACATGGATGAATGAACGGTTTGTTTTCCCACTAATCTGTTTCCCTCTTGCTCGCACTCGTTCGATTTAAATGGTGCAGTAGTGTGCGCCGATTAAACGTCAAAAATCTCTAAATCTCTAGCATAGCGGCAATCGCAAATTTTTCAATACACTGAAATCCGTTTGACAACCCACAATGAGCGCGTTGCGGCAAAAGCGGCATTGTACTAAAACGCTTTTTTTTTAAATTTTGGAAAAACGCGGTGCGGTTGAGCGGCAGCCTGAGAAGTGATCAACATTTTCAGTTATATTTTTTTGTAATTTTGAGTTAACCAGAACCTTCAAGACGTGAACCAAATAATCATCCAAGGTCGTAGTATGTAATCAGAACCATGCATCCGGACATATTTTGGGTACCCCCAGGGAACTGGTCCGATTCTTCTTGAACCAACACCCACATCAAATTACATGATAATTCAATAATATAATTGATGGCCATATTAAGTACTGAAGACCACGTTCGCCAGATCTGAACATGTTCCGGATACCTCCGAAGAAGTGAAACAGGAACCTACATCCTCATGTGACACACCAAAATATATCAAAATATATAAGAAATCAAAAATAAGAACATTGGTGACCATATTAAGTACTCAGGACCACACTGGCCATACATGTTTTGGGTGCTCCCGGAGAGTTTCATAAATTTCCCGAAATTTTCCTGAGGCCAATCGAACTTTTCTGGAGTTCTCTGAAATTCCCTGAAATTCTCTTCAGAACTACTCTGAAGTCTCTCCTCAGAACTACTGTGAAGGTCTGCTCAGAACTACTCTGAAATTCTCATCAGAATTACTCTGAAGTTCTCATTAGAATTACTTTGAAATTCTCCTCAGAACTACTCTGAAGTTCTCCTTAGAACTAAGTTCTCGTCAGAACTACTCTGAAGTTCTCCAAAAAAACTACTCTAGATCTTCGATGAAGTTTTCAACATTTTTCTGAAATGTACGAAGTTGTCCGAATATTCTCTTGAAGACCTTTAAACTTTCTCGCTAGTCAATCAATACGAAACTAATGATTTCATATTGGCTCACTACTTGACTAGCCTATTGGTCCCAAGCAAACCCTAATAAAAATTGTATGGTTAATTTGCTTAAGGGCGTGTTCTGGGTATCATCCAAACCATTTGTGGAATAGTTTAATGATTTGGGTTATCGTTCGTTTATGGTTATTTTTTATTAGGGAATCGATTAACGTACCCAATTCTAGTCGAAATTCTAGTACTACACTATGTTTGTTTTGATTCGCTATGAAAGTTTGACAAATAAAATGAGGGGTTCGTGGATTTTCCTATGTTTCGAGGGGTGCATCGATTAGCTTGGGACCGAAGATAGTACCAGAGCTGAGCCAAAAACTTGAGCTCGTTTCTTCGGGACCTTCTGGTCTTAGAGTTACCTCTATGTATTTGCTCCCCAAGAAGTTATTTTATCTTCTCAATAAATTAGAGTTGTCTGGACTTCTGCGGGAGCTCTTCTCCGAAGCCATCAATATTTCCCCACGGTTAAAGGTACTTCTTCTTTTTTTAATTTAATGCAAATTCAGAGACGATCACTGAGTTTCGGAGAATTTCAAAGCCCTTGGATATTGATTTCAGATTGATTAATTATTCAGAAGACCTTCTACTAATTTTTCTTCACTATGTCAGCTGAATCAGAGATTAATCAAATAACAAATATCTCGAAACTGCAATCAAAATAATCCCGTTTACGTGGTTTGTTTACGTACAGCATGCAGCGGAAGAGGAAAAATAGATAGATTTTGCGCGCATTGTGGGTAGGAATGCGGCAAAACTAAGAGAAGAGGTGACAATACGGGGGCGAAAATGAACCACTTTTCCGTCAAAGCTCCTGATTGGCCGATTTCATGTGCGTAAGATAGAGATAGAAATAAAAGAGGAAGAAGCCAATTGTCACCTCTTCCTCTTAGTGGCAACACGGCAGCGATACCAACAATCAATACGAAACTAACGATTTTAAATTGGCTCACTACTTGACCAGCCTATTGGTCCCAAGCAAATCGATTAACGTACCCCATTCTAGTATAAATTCCAGTACTACACTATGTTTGTTTTGATTCGCTATGAAAGTTTGACAGATAAAATGAGGGGTACCAGAGCTGAGCCAAAAAGTTGAGCACATTTCTTCTGGACCTACTAGTCTTAGAGTTACCTCTATGGCGATACAGCGGTTAGCGAGATTTTAGTACATTGCGCGTTTGTCGATGCGCCGCTATGCCGTGATAGTTGCGTCGGGAACCTTCGATTCGGTTTACGGAGGAACCCACTTTGGCCACCACCAGATAGTTCTCCGAGCTGAGTTCTTGGTAAACAACAGATTGCGAGATGTTGTTGGCCACGTTGCTGATGTAGATGTCGATGGTGGCGTGAACACCGGATCGACTCAAACGGGCGAGAGTGACCGAACTCAAGATGTTGTACTGAGCTTCCTGTAGGTCATTGTACAGGATGGTGCCATTTTGGTTGCGCCGATGTTGGCGCTCAGGTCGCCAATGATGATGAAGTTTTCCCTCTGTCGTGCTAGCTTGACAGTATCTCTTCGTAGGTTTACCATAAAGGTAACTCTAAGACTAGTAGAGTAGTAGGTCCCGAAGAAACGTGCTCAACTTTTTTTCTTAGCTCTGCTACTATCTTCGGTCCCAAGCTAATCGATTCACCCCTCAAAACATAGGAAAATTCACGAACCCCTCATTTTATCTGTCAAACTTTCATAGCGAATCAAAATAAACATAGTGTAGTACTAGAATTTCGACTAGAATGGGGTACGTTAATCGATTTGCTTGGGACCGATAGGCTAGTCAAGTAGTGAGCCAATTTAAAATCGTTAGTTTCCACCGGTTCGATTTGCTGCCGACCCGTCCCTGATGTTGACTTGTTTGGGACAGTAAGCCGCAACGATGGTGATGAGGTCAACAGGAGTAGAAACTTCCACCCCTACGGTTTCAATCATCTTAAGCTGGAAGCTCGGCAGCAGCCGACATTAGACGGTCCTCCTTAGAGCAATGGCCACTCCTCCTCCCCCAAATCTGGTTTGATCCAGCCTCACAAGCCGGAAATCGGGAAATGAAGACGTTAATTTCGATGATCTTGCTCTTGAGTGAGCAAGCGTTCTAATTGATGGCTTCACGGTCCATACTTATTGATGAGGGATATGGCAGCCTGAAGCTGTTCTTTTCGGGTCCTGCAGGTGCTCATGATGACTTCTGTCACGAGTGTAACAAGTTCCGCCGTTGTAAGCAGAGCGTCTGCGTTCTAGATCGTTGGTGAAGGGGGAGCACCATCATGCTGCCACGATAGCCCCGGAGGTGGAGAGGAGTTGCCGCATATCACTGACGACTTGAGTTTGCCGGAGTGTTACGCACCCCAGCTGTTGGCGGGACTGATACATCAACAGCAAAACAAAAAATCAGTAAAGAAATATAGCTGAATGCTTTACTGATTTTCAGTAAAATTATGTCATTTTGACATAATTTGGAAATTCTGTAAGATTCAGCCGTATTATTTTGCTTTAAAGTTAGCTGATCTTCCATCAAGTCTAAAATCAGCAAACTTTTGCTGAATTTAAGCGATATAAGTTTGGTGTGAAGAGGACATCTGGGAAACATTCAGAATACTAGAGGAAACATTAGAGAAATTCTGAGGAAAGACTAGAACACTTCTGACGGAAGACCAGAAGAGTTCTGAAGGAAGTCCAGAGAATTTCGGAATAAAATTTCATATGACTCCTGAGGAAACATTTGAGGACTTCTAAGGGAACTCCAAAGGGTATTTGAAGGACGTCTGAAGGAAGCCTAGAGAGAAGTTTAGAAGACTTTTGGGAGAGTTTCTGATGGATTTTGAGATAAGTCTAGAGGACTTCTGAGAGATGCCAAGCTGGCTTTTGGGAGAAGCTTAGAAGTTTTTTTTTTTATTAAACGTTCAGGGGACTATTGCGATAATTCCATAGCATAGCAAGAGTAGATCAGAAGACTTTTGCGGAAAACCAGTGGTTTTCTAAGGGAAGTCCAGAAGATTTCTGAGGGAAGATCAGAGGATGAGGATCTGATGGATCTTCAGATGACGTCTGCACAAAATCCAGGTGACTTCAACAAGAATTTTAGAAGAAAGTTCAAAAGACTTCTGACGGAGTCCAAGGAACTTGTAAGGGAAATTCAGAAAACTTCAGAAGAAAATTAACTGACTTTCTGAGCAGATAAGTCAAGATGTTTTTTGAGTAGTTTTATGAACTTTTGAGAAGAATCATAGAGAAAATCAGAGAAATTCCAGAGGATTCATGAAGTGAGTCCATGGGATTACTGAAAGAAGAATCTTCCGATGACTTCGGAACAAATTCAAACATTGGATTTCATTGAAGATCGAGAAAAAATTAGAACATGACGTTACACTTCTAGACGACATCAGTTGTACACATCGAATTGTCATCCATACGTCAGCGACATCATAGTAAAGCGAAACAGTCATGTATTCAAATCTTGTCTTACGAGTTACAATTCCATGCAGTTGTCCCAATCCTTAGGAGGAGCCACCGTGTCCCATCATCCACCCGATCAGCGTCCGCCGCATGTTCAGGGTAAGATTTTTGGAGCAGAAATCCATCGCTTTGACGTGGAACGAGGGCGACAGGTGCGGATAAAAGGCGTAGATGTGTCCCAGATAGCCGAAGGATACGATTTGGGCCAGGAAGACGAACGGTAGCCGGGAGAATCTGAGCACCAGCGCTGGAAGGTTGGGTTTCGTTTTGATCCAATGTTCCCAGGAAATCTGTAAGCGTTCTGGAATTAGATGGATTTTAGTACAGCAACGAACGTGAAAATACTGACCTCAATCGCTTTGGTGAAGCCCAAAGTGAAGACTTGATATTTTGGGTACAGACAGTAGGCACTTCCGGCCAAGAATCCGGAGAGTGCAGGCCCAAACGAAGATCTATCCAGCTGGAAGTGCGTCAGTATGCAGTTAGTGCTTCTGTAGATACCAACGTAGAATGCCAGAAACAAAGCTAATTTAGTGTTCCAAATTTGCCTGAATTCTATCAAAAATTGAGATCGATTTGACATGAGGAGTGTAAATTTGGTGATCAAAGCACGTGCAGTTTCCAGAATCAATCCGATGGAGCCATATTTCAGAATTCCGTCCAGCAAATGGTTAGAGCAGGAGTTCCTGTGAGTGCACCCGCTTTTGGCTTCTTCTCGAGTAGCGGGGGGATTAATCAACCTAAAAACAATTACTGTGAGAAGTGTCAGTTTTAAAAACAGATTTGTACCAAAATTGTTTCACAACTCCGGTGTGCAGTTTGGCCACGATCATCGCACTAAAGAACATAAAGCTGAGCGTTCCGGCCGCTTTCGAGGTCCTCAGGTATCGAACGATGCCCAATCGACTCTTTCGAACCATTGTTTCCACCATCTATCAAAACAAACATCTTTGTACTAAACTTGTTCTAAAAATCTGAAAGTTCGATTCGATTCAACCATATTGAAGAATGTGATTCCCTGTAGGCGTAGGTGCTGCGGGGGAAGCCGGGGTCCCAGGGCGACTCCCAGTAGGCAGGGCCAAAACATCACGCCCCAGTAGTTGAGGTATCCGAGCAGGTTGCTTTGTTTACATTTGGTAATCGTTAGAAAGTTCCTGATTTTATGCAAATTTCCAATGAATTACTCACAAACAAGTACACTGGAAGGTCAGAGAGAGCGCCGCCTGGACATAGGTCGCCACCGAGATGTGCAGGTACTCCAGGAAGTGGTTCACCAGGTACGATCCGGTCAAACCGTCCGTTTTGACCAACGGGGGAAGCTGTGAAACATAAATCTCAGTTATCTTAATTTTGCGAACAAATTTTCATCAAATACTTACGATCAACAGCGGAATGTAGAACTTGAAACTTCCCGGTATGATCCGCTTCCACAAGTCGAAAAAGTACGATCGACAAGTTACGAACTCCGGATGCCAAAGGTCGCGGCAGGTCTTCCCGGCCGACACCTCGTAGAAGCACTTACTCAACGAAGACATGTTTACCGAAGAGGCATTCGAAGCAAACTGATTCCCAACCCGTGCACTTGGTTTTCCCCAATTTATTACTATTTTAGTACAAAATATTCAAATTTTCTCCACTCCCTTTCGATTCATAAATATTCAAGCCCGTTTCCACTCGAGCTCGAGCATCCAGCTGACCAGACGTCGCTTCATATTTTCGATCCGATTGCCGGAGCAGTAGTTCAGGGCTTTGTTGTTGAACGGTGGCGATAGGTGCGAGTGGAACAGGAGTGAGTGGTACATGTACCCGACGCCAATCATGTATGCTATGTGGAGAAAGGGAACGCGATTCAACCGGAATGCCCACGTCGGTAAATCCTTAGCCGTTTTGAACAGGTGATCCCAGGACATCTGCAATACGAAGATCAATTATCCCCATTCTAACTCAATCTGGTTGTAAATCTTACCTCAACAAACTTGGTAAATGCCAACGTAAACACCTGGTACTTGGGGTAGATGTAGTAGGACGTTCCGCACAGGAAGGCAGCGATCCGGTTGTTGACGGGGCGATCGTGGCCGTAGTGGCGACACAGAAGACACCCCGTTGCCCGGTAGATGGCAATGTATGCCGCTAAAAAGAGCATCAGTTTGAAGCTCAAGATCCGACCCAATCCGGGCATGAAATCACCGGGACGTTTGTAGAGCAGGGGAAACTTGGCGATCACTGCCCGCGCGAATTCGATGGTAAAACCGACGAAGGAGTACTTAAGGATACCCTGTTGGAAGGGGAGGAGTTCGATTGGCAAACTTTATTCCTTTTAGGTCAAACTATACTTACATCCAATAAGTACGCATCACACGACCGCTCGTGTGAGCACGCCTTGTGCCCGCAAGGATAGATTCGCCCCATGACTCGGCTGTCCTCCACCGAATCTAAAGCCACCTCCTTGACTTTCACCGGGTACATGATCCAGAACTGATTTACCGCTCCGTGCTGCAATATCTCCATGATCCTCGTATTGAAGATCATAAACAACAGAGTCCCAAACACTTTCGACTCCCGCAGCACTTCCACGAACCGAAACTTGCTCTTCTTCAGCACGACCTCCAACATCTGCATTTTTAGATAGCGAGTTATAAGTCATTTTCTAGTTAATAACGTAAGTAGGTACATACCATATTGAAGTAGGTGATTCCCTGCAGTCGCAGATGAGGCCGAGACAGGAACGGTGATATCAGTGCAGCACTGATGAACCCGGTAGCTCCCATTACCCAGTAGAACTTGTGGTGACCGAAAATTTTACTGAAACGGAAATTCTCTTCACAAGATCATTGGTTTAAAAAATTTTACAACTCACTAGAACCAACACTGCAGCGTCAATCCGATGATCGCAATGAGGTACGTTTTGTACGAAATCTCACTGTAGCTCAGCACGTGATCTCGCCAGTACTGTCGGGTGTAGCCACCGCCTTTCACCAGGGGAGGAATCTGATCGCGTTTGAAAATGAAAACAATCAGACATGGCTAACACTCGAAATAATCAAATAATTATTACCGCCAACAAGGGGAAATAGAGCTTGTAGCTGCCGGGCAGCAGACGGCAGGCATTTTCGACGAACGACGTCCAACAGGAGGCATACTCCGGATGGCAGAGGTCACGGCAGGTCTTCCCGGCGGTAACATCGTAGAAGTACTTGCTCAACTCGGCCATTGCTGCTGGTTGTTGATCGTACGGCGAATCCGGTGAAACTGAACGAAGTGGAATCGAATTTTATATTTTGGCTTGTGTGATTTTCGGCTGGAAGCTAATTTGCATTCGCGAGCAAGTCAAGGCGAATCGGTTTTGGCGGTAGAATTTTGTTTGAGGAAAATAAATTTAGAACAAGTAAATAGCGGAAACCGGCGTCTAAAGTTATGCGGAGCATGCTTTGAAGTCTCCATAACCTATTCCAAAATTCTTTACTAATCGGCTGCTGGATTTCCCAAACCTTTAAATCGATATATCTCCGTAAATATGGCTCTAATCGCGATTTGGGGGGTGTTCAGATGGTCGAAATTTCTATCCCCGGATTTCCCAGCATAAAATATTCCAAAATTATTTATATGTCGGCTGCTGCATTTCCCAAACCTTTAAATCGATATATCTCCGTAAATATGGCTCTAATCGCGATTTGGGGGGTGTTCAGAAGGTCGTAATTTTTATCGCCGGATTTCCCAGTATAAAATATTTGAAAATTCTCTACTAATCGGCTGCTGGATTTCCCAAACCTTTAAATCGATATATCTCCGTAAATATGGCTCTAATCGCGATTTAGGGGGTGTTCAGATGGTCGAAATTTTTATTCCCGGATTTCCCAGTATAAAATATTTGAAAATTCTTTACTAATCGGCTGCTGGATTTCCCAAAACTTTAAATCGATATATCTCCGTAAATATGGCTCTAATCGCGATTTGGGGGGTGTTCAGATGGTCGAAATTTTTATCCCCGGATTTCCCCGTATAAAATATTCCAAAATTCTTTATATATCGGCTGCTGGGTTTCCCAAAACTTTAAATCGATTTATCTCCGTAAATATGGCTCTAATCTAGACTAGTCTATTGGTCCCAAGCAAATCGATTAACGTACTCCAATCTAGTATAAATTCCAGTACTACACTATGTTTGTTTTGATTCGCAATGAAAGTTTGACAGATAAAATGAGGGGTTCGTGGATTTTCCTATGTTTCGAGGGGTGAATCGATTAGTTTGGGAACGAAGATAGTACCAGAGCTGAACCAAAAAGTTGAGCTCGTTTCTTCGGGACATTCTGGTCTTAAACCAAGCGCACTGGTGCGTTGTTAAACGCAATTTACTAGCCACCATCATAACACGACACCGCACCAGTTGCCAAACAGGTTGGGAAATAGAAACTTACCGTTTCGGTGAACAGTGGGTGTGCTGATTTGGCAACCCGATCCAACGTTGCTATTCGAAGAAACAAAACAAAACAAAGTGAAACGCCAAAAGGTTTCTACGAATCTCGAAGCTCGTCTAGCGGTAAAATTTGTTTTCAAGTGTTCTGTATTTAATTTGGCAGAAGTGAAACTAGTGCGAAAATGAGTGCGTCGAAGCCACGGGGAAAGAATTGGACCCATCTGGAAGACGAAGCGTTGTGTCGGGCATGGCTTGATGTGTCTCAGGACGCGATTGTTGGGACAAATCAAAAAGCCGAAAATCTGTACGGGAGAATTTACGAGAAATTCGTAGAAATTTGCACAGACAACAGCGTCACAGCACAGCCCACCCGGAACTACGAGCTCCAAGCGGCATAAAAGGCAGGTGGCATTTTATTAACAAATCCGTCAGCAAGTTTGCTGGCTGCATGGCACAAATAAATGCTCGCCAGCGAAGCGGTGCTTCCCCGGAAGACAATCTCAAAGAGGCGTTGACGCTGTATGCCACCAAAGAGAAAACACCGTTTGTCATGATGCACTGCTACAGGATTTTGGAAAATGTACCGAAGTGGCAGCAGTACCATATTCTGAAGGTATTTTTAATTTTTTATACTAGCAAACATCAACTTTAGGCCCTTGCACACGTGTGGAAAATCACACATCGCTACTACCGCGGCAGCGAAAACGAGATTTAGAAATACCTATTTTCATAAGATTCGACGCCCACGCAAACGCGGCTGCGTTACCGTGTTTTTAAAAGTGCATCAACTGATTTGAATTAGGATATTTTAAACCGCACTCGCGTTACCAATACGGTACTACTGCATGATGTGTCGGAAGTGTGCAGTGGGCTTTAAACCTTTAGAACTATTACAGCAAATCATTTGTTGCATTTCCATTTTATTTTGCAGGTGCCAGCCGTGAAGCGCTCGATTGAACAAGTCTCAAACGACGGAGTTGAAGAAATTGACCTAGTCGAAGTAGGAAAATCCTCCACGGGAATCAGCAATGCAATTGATCGGCCCAGGGGAAGAAATGCTAGTAAAATTCAGAAAGTTAATCGCTCGGAAACACTTGAACTCGCCAAAGCCGGTAAACTATTAGCTGAGGCTGCCAATACAAGGGCAAACGACGGTATCCAACGGACTAAGGCGCTCAAGAGAATCGCGAATCACTCGATCATGTCGGTTGATTTTAGCGAGTTGAGTGATGTTGCCAAGCAATACTATATGCTGGAGCAGCGTCGTATTCTGGAGGAAACATACCAAGAAGTGGCGCATGCTTCTGAAGAATCCACTATGGAACTCACGGATGCGATGTATGTTACTGAAGATCACATCGGGGAAGACAATGACAACCCCGAGGAAAATGATGAGAATTATCATTATGATAGCTATGGTGAAGAAGATGAAATGCAGGAGTTAGAAGTTCTTGATCCTATTAGTGAGTAATTCATTAATAATTTGCACTGATCAAGAGGACTAATTTTAACGTGTTAAAATTTGTTGTTTTATTTTATTGAATACTACTATCGGAATATGTTAATTGTATTTTTTAACATATTTAAAATAAACAAAATAATTAAATACATTGCCTGAAGTTGAAAAAATTATAATTTAAATTTTTGAGGATTGTTTAGAATTCTTAAAGGCTCTTGATTGGGATTCCTGGGGAACCTTGGTTAATAATTTATGACAAATCATTCTGGCAGGGGAAACCACATTCACTCGTTTTGATGGATATTAAACATATAGGGAGGTTTTAATCAGCTTGTTTGTTCAACAAATATATGGTTTTTTTTATAACATTAGTTGATTTCATTTTGATCGAGAAACAACAGAACAAACATGAGAACTAAAAAGTACAGACTCTTATTGTAGGGTAATTTGAAGAGATAACTTCCTGGTGTCTCCTGAAAAGTTATTAAACAGAAAATTTTCCACCTTTTGGGAACATTTAGCATCCGGAAAGTCACGAGTCTGATCCTCCGGAAGACCCGGAAAATCCGTAAAAGTGGTCAATTCATGAAACTAATCCAAGAGCTTCGCGGTTTTTTCGAAACCGCTTATAGATGTCTTATCAGAATTAATTCGGAGTTTTGACCTGAATATGGATCCAGAGGACCACGGGATGGTCCTCCGGAAGATCCGGAACATCCGTGAAAGTGGTCAATTCATGAATCTGATCCTAGAGCTCAGCGGATTTTTCGAAATCACTCCTAGACGTCTTATCAGAATGAATTTGGAGTTGTGACCAGAATATAGACTCTGAGGACCACGTAACTGAAACTGATCCTGTGGTTTTTTTCGAAACCACTCATAGACGTCTTTTCAAAATGAATTCGGAGTTGTGACTGGAATATGGACCCTGAATATCACGGAATGGACCTCTGGATGATCTGGAACATCCAAATACGTGGTGAATTGACTGATTCTAGAACTAGATTTTTTCGAAACTATGTATGGAAGTCTTATCAACATGAATTCGGAGATGTGAGCAGAAAATGGTCCCTGGGATCCACGGGATAGTACTCCGGAAGATCTGGAACATCTGTCGCGATGTATGTATGTATGTCACGAATTAATATAGAGGCAAAGAGAAATTGTGTTCATGTAGTGCAAAATATGTAAGTGTTTGTGGAGCTTACCTTCAATGACGTAAAACTCCACGTTTTTCATGTCATTTTTTTATTGTACCATGTCTCCCTCTGGACTAAGTATCCCCACCCTCGCCTGCATTAAGGTCTAGCTCAAAGGACTAATACATTAACATCTTGATGATGAAGTCTGTTGGTTTGGACGGGCTAGATTACAGAATTTATTGTTTAAAGAAAAATATAACAGGTAAGTTCAAAAGATATAAGACGAACAAGCCTCGTTTATTATTGCTCATCTCCCTTCAGTTTCCAAAGGTGTTCAGTCAAGTCGTTTTGTAGCTGGTTATGAAGAAATGTATCATGAACTTTCTCGAAACGTGCTAGAAATGCTCCAAAGACTACTTCACCCGTCGATAGAACAGGATTGGTATTGGCCGAGGTGTCTCCATCAAATGGCGTTGAACAATCTCGCTGATCTTCAATAATCATATTGTGGAGAATAATGCAAGTGCGCATGATTGATCCCAACTCTTCCTTATTCCAGAGTCTGGCAGGGTTTTTAATAATTTCAAATCGACTAGTCAGTACTCCAAACGTGCGTTCTATATCTTTTCTCGCGGATTCCTGCATTTCAGCGAAGTGCTATGTTGAAAAGAAACAATAAATTAAAAAATGAAATATTAGCAATGAAAATTTAACACCCATATTCTCGTTTTCGTTCGAATCGTTTTTCCACACAAAAAAAATGGTATACGGTTCGAACGAAAGCAAGAATATGTATATCTACATACCTTTCGTTTATTGCCAACGGGTGATGGAATCGTTTGAACCAACGTGGACAATGGTGGATAAATTCCATCGGCTAGGTAGTATCCTGTGTTGTAGATGTGACCGTTAATTACATACTTCACAGGAGGAGCTTTTCCACTGTAAATATTGGAAAACAACGTAGATCTTTCCAGCACGTTAATATCATTATTAGATCCAGGTATTCCAAAAAGTGCATGCCAAATCCATAGATCCTGGGATGCCACCACTTCAAGGATGATGGTCGGTTTCTTTTCTTTTCCTTTATATTGGCCTGCCCAAGCCGTAGGGCAATTTTTCCATCTCCAGTGAGTACAGTCCAGGGAACCCAGCATTCCTGGAAAGCCCCGCTCTTCTCCGATACGCAACAACCTCTGAAGATCCTCACGGGTTGGAGAACGCAGATATTTTTCACCAAAGATGCTATTTACTGTCTGGCAGAATTCCCGAAGACAATTTCGTGCAGTTGACTCTCCCATCCGAACATATTCGTCGATAGCATCCGATGGAGATCCATACGCCAACTGTCGGATTGCTGCCGTGCATTTTTGTAGGTTTGTCAATCCACACTTTCCTGTTGCATCTGGCTTTTGGATGAAATATTCGTTCCGCTCCAATGCTTTCGCAATACGCAAGAACAAATACCTACGCATACGAAAGCGTCTTCGGAACTGTTCGCTCGTATATACTGGTTCTTCTGCAAAATAGTCGTCGAATAGCCGTCGAGCTCCTTCCTCCGCAAACCTGTTTATATTTGGTCGTTTTCCAGGACGAGATCCTCTATGTTTTTCCCCTGATTCTGCTGCTGCCGTTGAAAGTGCATGAACCATTACCTGCTGGGCGAATACAAGTTCGTCGAATTCATCGTCACTCGAGTCCACAAAAATTTTAGAATCATCCATTGCAATCAAATATTTACTACACTTTAAGCTGAACAATGCATTAGGTCCTAAGTAACATTGACCGATTCTCTTCGTCGACTTTCTTTTTGTATCACCACGACCATGTAAAAACATTCACAGCTATTTCCAGCACACAGATCGATAAAAAAAACATCTAATACGACAAATTCAGCAAGAAACGGTTCTGTGCTCAAGTTATTAACGAAAGAGAAAGTCGACGAAGAGAATCGATCAATGCTACTTAAAACATAATGCAGTTCAGCTTGAATTGTTATTATCGTTTGTTTTTACTACGATGCGAAGTAACTAGATTGACAACCAGCGGTGTGGAAACAGAGAGGTACTTTGGAAACCCTTTTATCAACGACCGGTGCAAAAATGGGTAGTTAAATATAATAGCAACGCCTTGCGTACTCATAATAGACACGCATTTACTTATGCACTGGTGCGCTTGGTCTTAGAGTTACCTCTATGGTACATGTATGTCAATGTCAATCATGTATGTCAACGGATCTATCAGATATCCCAGGGTAGAAGCAATCAGTAGGCGTTGTTACCATAGAGGTAACTCTAAGACCACTGGGTCCCGAAGAAAATCATTATTATTTTTGGCTCACTCAGTACCAGAACAACGGTCCCAAGCAGTCCCAAGCTATTTCACTCACCCCTGCATGTTCTGCATGAATCCACACACCCCTGATGTTATCTGTCAAACTTTCATAGCGAATCAAAACAAACATAGTGTAGTAATAGAATTTCAACTAGAATAGGGTACGTTAATCGTTTGCTTGGGACCAATAGGCTACTAAAGTGGTGAGCCAATTTAAAATCGTTAGTTTCGTATTGATTGTTGTTGTTACTGTTTAGAAACACATCAAAATCTGAAAGAAATCGTTCAATAAATTATTCAGTTTGTAAACTTACCTCAGCACAATAATGAATGACGAAATCAGTTTCTCATTCACGCCGGAGGATCTCATCTACTGGTGCTTCCCGTGGACTCTACCGATTCGCACGTTTTACCACCATTATCCAACGACGCCAATTCAGCATCAGCGTCAGCCTTCGGCGCCAAAAATCCCTCATCATCGAAGACTACGAAACGGATGCGGTCATCAGCGATAAATAAAATCCCTTTTCTAGACTATTAAATAGATTATTATCTCTTTCTGTTTACATTGTCTTTTTTTTTCCTCTAGAAGATTAAAGCGTATGTTGTAAAATAGTTGACTTTCTTCTTTGTTTCCTATCAAATTTCCTACACAGCTTTTCAAGTACCGTATGCATCCCGTTTTCCTAGAAGACTTTCCTGATTTCACTCGAAAAAATTACCCTTAACATTACTAATTCAGTACAAAAGCTACTCATTTGGGAACGAAAACCGCCCTCACTTGATTTCCTCTCTATTTTTAAGTAACACAAATTGAGCCGGGCTCGGAAGAACTTCTAAAAATCCTAACCTAATCCTAAAATGAAAAATTAAATCTAGGAAAAAAAAACTGAAATCATTTGATTAAGTTAATTTGACTAATTGATCACTGCGGACTCCATTCCGGCACCTTTCTTCGATTTGGGTTGCTTCCTTCATCACTCCGTTGTTCATTGTTTTCTTTTTCTGCTCTAACGTTCGTTGAGTAAACAATTATTGTGGCTCCACAAATTCTTTTTAAGGCTTGAACATGTAAAATGTAGGTATGGGTGTGTGTGTGTAAAAGTTTCTTGGATTTAGGTAGTAAAATGTAGTGGTTCTAAATCAACATTTCATCGTCACTTTCGGAGAGCGTTCCGGTTGGGTTCATCAACAGGTTTCCCTCATCGTTGGAGCGGACCTAATGTGGAAAAATAGATTTTGTTTTCAATATTTTTGAGTGAATGACGTTTACAAAAATACATTTCATTAATTTCGACAACAATCGTAATAAAATGTGTACGGTTATTAACGACGTGTTCAGGGTGTAATCCAAACCACTTGTGGGATAGTTCTATCATTTGGGTTAACGTTCGGGTATGTTTTTTTTTATTAGGGAAGTTATGAGTTGATTATTGCTATGAGATTGCGGTCACCATTTTGCTAGAATTACGATTAGTTTGGGTTAGTTCGAGGACAACATATCAAGAAGACAGAAGACTACAGCTCAAAGGTAAAAGAAACACGAATTTGATAGCAAAGACTCCAACCGCAATTGAGAGGATTGCATATCGGATATGTAGTCCCAAGAAGCACAAATTCATAGAATTATGTCGGGTAAACTTCTTTACAACCAAAACCAGTCATTCAAAGGTTGCTTGGATTCTAGAAGAGCTGCCAGTCTTCTTGGTATGATGAACGGTTAGTTTGAAGGTGAAAATAAAGTAACAGAATGACCTTTGGTTTGCAGGCTACATAAAGTGTGTCAAACGGAACGCGTGAACGGAAATGATAAACGGCAGCACAAACGGGGGTGTGAAAAAAGTAACAGCAACGAAAAGACTACTAAAAATCATCTGCCAGACTGTCCTAGAAGGATAGAAAAAAAAAACATAAAGCATATAAATAGGCATTGTACAAAAAGCGGTGTTTAAAAGCTGGAGGTGGTTGAAAACGCTGAAGACTACACGCAACGAAATTTAATTATTTTATTTAGGGGCTGTTTATTAAATACGTAGAAACATTTTTTTGGATTTTTGAACCCCCCCTCCCCTCCGTAGATAATTGTCCTTACACAAAAACTTAATTTTGTATGGGCCGTGGATAATTGACAACCCCCCCCCCCTAAACTGTTAACGTAGTTTATGGACAGCCCCTTATGTGTTTCAATTATGATTCGGATGGCGCCTTCACTGTGCAAAAAACTGAGGATACCACAGTGTTACGGCTAGGGATCGACCAGGACCCTACGTTGTGTTCCGTTGGACAAAGTAGAAGCAACAATCAATACGAAACTAACGATTTCAAATTGGCTCACTACTGGACTAGCCTATTGGTCCCAAGCAAACCATTAACGTACCCCATTCTAGTCGAAATTCTACTACTGCACAATGTTTGTTTTGATTCGCTATGAAAGTTTGACAGATAAAATGAGGGGTTAGTGGATTTTCCTATGTTTCGAGGGGTGAATCGATTAGCTCGGGACCGAAGAGAGTACCAGAGCTGAGTCAAAAAGTTGAGCACGTTATTTCGGGACCTTCTAGTCTTAGAGTTACCTCTATAGTAGAAGCATAGAGGTAACTCTAAGACCAGAAGGTCCCGAATAAACGAGGTCAACTTTTTGGCTCAGCTCTGGTACTAACTTCGGTCCCAAGCTAATCGATGCACCCCTCGAAACATAGGTAAATCCACGAACCCCTCATTTGATCTGTCAAACTTTCATAGCGAATCAAAACAAACATATTGTAGTACTGGAATTTATACTAGAATGTTTGCATTTCCTCACCGTTTTTGGCTACCCATCAATCGATAAATAGTCGATGGCTCTTTCCGGTAATTCCTAGGGAATCGAGAAATATTTTTTAAACATTATTTAACTTCCGGAAGTTTTAATTCATTTTTAAGTTTCATCCAACTTTCCCTGGAATTTTCTTCCACCTTACCTTGGAAGCTTCTTTAGCCTTCGCTCGAATGATTCTTTCATCTTGCTATTCAGATTTTTATTGCGGATCCACACTAGCTGCAGGAACATTTAACATTTAATTCCAGACTTTTGTGTAAGTTTCGATAAATTAAATACAGTTTCATTAACTTCTGTTAATATTTGAAAACCCGGAAATTTAAGAAAAGTCCAGTGAACTCCAGTGAACTTAAGGAAACATCATAAATATTTTGGAAACTTCACAAATCCAAAGAACTTCAAGGAAATTTAATGGTCTTCAGAAACTTTAGTAAAGCTCAGAGAACATCAGGACAGATCAATTAATTTCAATGAAATTGCTGAAATTATAAAGGAGTTCCGAGAAACTCAGGCAATTTCCGAAAACTTTAGCAATGTCCTGAGGGGCTCATGCAAATTTAGGAAACGTAAGGGAAGTTACCTGAACATTAGAACATTTTGAGAACATTTTATGGAAAGTTCTATGCCTTTTAATGGCAGTGTCGATAACTTTTAAAAGTTAAAAAATCGTGAAGATCAGAGAACTTCAATGCTGATGTTACAATAAATTCAAGAAAATTGTGAGAACACTTAGAAGATTTCGTAATCTTCAAGAAAGTCCAGATACCTTCAAAGATGATTAAAGATATTTCGGTAGTCTTATTATTATCAGGGAAGTCCCGAGCGCTTCGAGGATGACCAGAGAACTTCAAAACAGCTCCTAGTTTCAGGAAAATTACTAGAACTTTTAAGGAATTTCGAGAAATTGTGGAATATTTCAGGAATGTTCCGAAAACTTCAGAGAAATTGCGGAGTCTTTGAGGATGCTTTATGAATATCAGGAAAATTTTCTGGATCATTAGAATATCCCCCTCTTTATCCGGAATTATGTCCTTGTTTCTTTCGACTGTTCCGTTAGCGTTCTGGCTTCCGACTTTCTTCAGATGTTTCTTCCAGTCTACCTTAAGAAGTTACTTCACACTGAGAAAAGTAAACTTTATCTAAGCGCATAACTCTTACTCCGTTTCGTTTTGTGTTTGCCTCAATGTGAATGTGTTTTCATAAAGCTGTGCAATCGATCTCCTGAATGTGATAAGGTGTAAAGTTTGCCCTTGGCGCTCAATGTGTGAGGTAATAACAAGAATGTCTACCTTCTTTGAAACTTTTACTTCGAATTGTCGTGTTAATTTACGGTAAAATCAATAAAATAGCTCATTTCCATACAATTTACTAACTAGCTACCTACCAAGAGAGTAAACTACCTTGTCTCTCACAATTCTCTCTAGCACGGACTAAATCTCTCAACATGCCATTTATTTTGATAGCACGCGATTTGAGATTTTCCTCTCACAGACTACAGAATAGGGCACCTGGCATTGAAGACGTTGTTGGAACCGTTATTCATGCACGTAGGTCATTCCGCACACCAATCTTGGGCCAACTTTTTTCTCAGTGCGCCGCAAGTGTGCCGATTGTGCCTGCTGTCCCGGTCATACAGCAAGCTGCGGTTGTTTGTAAAATACGTATATTATGGTATATTTAGCAATCTTATATTTCTGACAGCTTGAATGTTTTGGATGGAGGATTGTAATGTTCAAAAAAGAAAATATTATCGAAAAATACTAAGTACACTGATAAAATTGATCATATCAGGCATAAAATTTGATAACGGCACAAAAGTATTTGTAAACAAACTTTCTAAGGCCCTTAACACGCGAACCAAAGTACGCTCACGCAAACCAACAACACCATCGGATAGGGGCAACTATCACCTTTCGGAAAGTGGTATTGGTTTGAGTGGGCGTACTGTGGTTCACGTGTAAAGGGCAGTAGAAAGTTTGTTAACAAATGCTTTTGTGCCGTTATCAAATGTTATGCCTGATATTTCGTTTATGTGTCACACAAATAGATTTTTGTAATTTGATTTCGCAAATGAAATTTATGTGTGAGACACATAATTGTTTTCATTCGACCTTCAATAAATATTATGTGTGGTCACACATAAACATTAAAGCTAGTGACAGATGAATTCAATGTGCCGATTCATATTTTATATTGTTTGGATATATTATTTTCAAATGCCCGGAAAATATTTTCTATACGATATTAAACTCGATCTAAATCAATCCAAAATACCAATTTTTTTTTATTTATGTCAATTTATTCTCGAGTTTCGAGTAAGGAACGTACTGGATGCCCTTTAAATAGCAGTTAATAATTAGGATAATAGCTAGCGTTTTCGGTGGCCCTGTTCTGGAAGTTGAACCTTGTCCTGATAAAGGCGCTGATTGCACAGCTTACTCGTTCCTTTAATGCAGTACTCAACAATTCGTCCAAGCCAACGTACACAACAAACAAATTCGGACCTTATTGCTATCGTGGATGAAGCTATCTTTCATCTCCTGCCTTGCGTCCTGTTGTAGCAGCTGTTTCCTTTAAAATACAGATCACATTACATTACCTGATCTTTTTGTAAATTTCTTCATATTTACCATTAAAATAATCAACACAAACAAACCCGAATCTACGATTGCAACTTTCACACACCAGTTCGGTCTCCATTTTCCAATTCACCGATTCCGTCGGGTGTATTTTATGTGTGTACACCGTGTACACACATATTTTTTTGCAATGTCCCATTACATATGACGTTTATGTGAGACACACATACCTGACATATGCAAAAAACATGATGTTTATGTGTAGCTTATACAATTTATGTGTGGAACATTTTATTAAAGTTATGTGTGAAATCACATAAATAAAATCTTTGCTGTTTTATCAGTGTAGGAAGGAGCAACTGCCGTCGGACGTATGAGATGATAAAATGTTCCCATAAATGTGGATGTGGTTACTAAAGATTATACTCGAAAAAAATTCAACACTTTCTTTTGTGTATAACTTTTTATTGCACGGGTAAAAATTGATGAAATTTTTAATAAAGCTAGTTAAGAGTGTAATATTCACATGTGCAAAATCTCATCACAATCTGTCAAGTGTTTATCGAGATGGGTTCCAAGCAAGAATTACTTCGACTAAAAATTATTGGAGCGGTCGTTGAAAATCCAGTTCAGTCCCACAGGTTGATCGCGAAACAGTTTGTAATCGAAAATTCGACCGTGTCCCGTGTGGTAAAATCGTTCAAGGAGACCCAGACGACCCAGCGGCGAGCTGGCAGCGGAAGAAAGGTGAGGTATTACTTCAAGCACAATCCGAACCACAATCCACTTAATTAATTTTGGTATCCATGACAGATACGTATTTCGACTACAATGTGCAGTCTTCATCAGTGTCAGTGGAATTAAATGGAAGATAAACCCTTTTGCTGTTTTATTTAGCATTCCGCTAACAACCCAATTTCATTACTTCATTATGATGGCTACCAAGCCTTTGGGGATTTTCCTTATTAGAGAGTTGTATAGATTTTTCTCCTTTAGCTTACTTAAATCTTTGGTTTTTATTAGTTAGGTGGGTTCCGATTCAACACATTGTAGTTTCATTTTTATACCTATGATCTTGACTTTTTTACCTAGGGGATGAGTACTTAAGGGGTTAGATTTTGATAAGTTCTTTAGTGGGAATGACACTGATGAAGACTGCACATTGTAGTCGAAATACGTATCTGTCATGGATACCAAAATTAATTAAGTGGAATTAAATGGAAGATAAACCCTTTTGCTGTTTTACAGAAAATGTGTCGACTACCGTGACCGCTTACAAGACTGAACAGAATACGGTGGCCAAATCCCACGCCAGGAAGCTGAACCGCGAGTGCTTGGTGCAGCCGAAATGCATCGTAATGGACGACGAGACGTACATTAAAGCGGACGACAAGAAGATCCCCGACCAGGAGTTTTAAGTCGACAAATCCCGCCTGGATGTTCCGGAAGAAGAAAGTTGAGAAATTTGCCAAGAAGTATTTAGTGTGGCCAAATATATAAAGAAGAATGCCTCCAGAAGCGCCTGCTGTCCTTCCTCCGGTTCTACGAAGGCTACACTCTGTTTGGCCGGATCTGGCATGTTGCCATTACGCGAAACCGGTATTGGACTGGTACGAAGCCAACGATGTTGTTTTTGTGCCGAAGGAGGCAAATCCGCCAAACTCGCCAGAACTGAGCCCAATAGAAAAATTCTGGGCAAGCTCCGGAAAATAGGGAAGGTCTTCAAAAACTACAAGGATTTGAAGAAAGAGTGGATGAAAGTGTGTAAGAAAGATGGCGCAAGTGTTGCACAGGATTTGGTAGCGTTAAGTCCAAGGTACGGGCATTTAGCCTAGTAGAGGAGGTTGAATAAACCAACATTGCTAATATGTGTTTATTTATTCCCTGAGAGTTTCAAAAATAACCGACTTAAAATGCATTTTTGGTGATCATTTTTGTCTGTTGCATTTGTTCGAGTTCAGTCGTTACCTCATCAGAACTGATCGGACCTGATTCTACATATATCTGACCAGTTGTAGATAATACGCCAATTCGTAACATTCGTTCGCCAGCCCATTGAAGATGACACGGGATACGTGAAATGTGGGTATGTGAAATTTTTCTTTTTGAAATATAGGATAACAAAAGTCCTGTCTATGAGGTCGGGCTCAGTGGGCTGATGTGGCATCATACAACATGTCAAAACATCATGTCGAAGTCGTGTGGCGCTTGCTAGCAAATGCCACACCTCCGCCACATTAGTGGGCGCCCGGCCTTACACGGAGATGAAAAACTACCCAAAATTAAGTACTTTTCCCTCAGTTCCGGGGTTCAACCCAATAACCCAAATTTGAGTAAATCGCATATAGTAGTTTCCATTTAACACCAGCAAAAAAAAAACTACCTATTCTTAAGTATATTCTACCCAAAATTAAGTTTAATTCACGTAAATTTGAGAATATGCATTTTACTCAAAAGTAACTTATTGGGCTGAACTATATCGTTGGGTCGAATCTCTTGTTCCTTTTTTGACAACAATAACGAGTGCAAGTGAGAGGCTGAAGTAAATATTAAGTAAAAAGATCTCAAATTTTGGGTAGTATTTTTCTCCGTGTAGGGTTTTGTAATGCCCTCAAAGACAGCCCAAATACCTAGCCTTTCATGTTGTGCAACGCAACGGTCTATCAGCGACCGGAAAGAGTTCGAACCGGTGGGGAACAATGTTGGAGACCGAATATAGAAGATAATGAGTATGACTTCTGTAGTTTGTTTTGTGTGATTAACTGCCTCTTACTCTCGAGCCCTCGCTAGAACCTACATTTCGGATTTAAATCTATCAGTGAACCGAGAAGCGAACTGCTAGTATATTCAACTGCTGGTATATTCAATTAGAAGATGTTCCTGAACTTTACAGTCAAGCAGCACGTAATGTTGTGAACAACATCAATGACAGTAGACTAACATCCGCAGTCCCTCCTTTTTGGCATACGCGACATAAAAGATATTTTTAAGCACCCTATTAATAAAAATGGCGGGAAATTCTATTAGAGGCGAGGCTTAGCAAGTATTTTTTGTTCCGAGTATGCAAAAGAGAAGGGACTTTGGATGCGAATCTAAATGCATACATAGAGGTACCAGACATGCTTTGCAGAGTCGGGTACTATATTTTCTAGTCTGCGAAAGGGATTTCTAGAGTTATATTATATATTTTTTTTAAAAGATTTAGAGATTTTTAGGTGTAAAAAAATCCAAAAAATTATAAATTTATAGATTTATAGATTGCTGGAATTATTGTTTTACTTATTGATTTATTGATGGATTCATTGATTTATTTATTTATTATTTAATTTACTGATTTATTAATTGATTTATTTACTGATTATTATTTGTTTATTTATTTATTTTTAAATGATTTATTTATTTATTTCTATTTTTTTCATAATTGCCTGCATATACCTATCTAGCTATCGGTTTTTATCGGAAGACGAAAATGCTTCCCTATATGAAGAAAGAACACCATCCTCTACCTAAACTGCACATAAACACACATGTGGAAATAATTTACTTTGTATGTACTTACTTTACATTTACAGGCACTATTCTAACCCCAATAGCAACTTACCCTTGAATACGACACCAGTACGTTCCGCCTTCGGAAGAGCAACCGCAGCTGGTCGCGCCGTTCCGGGTTTCGTAACAGCATAAAACCACCGGCTCCGGCCAGCGAAATCAACGTCAGCACGGCCAAGATGATACCTGGTGAACGCAAAGATATTGAAGTGAGAACAAACTGCGTAATAATAATCAACACCGTTACGACGTCATGACATCAAAACAAAAGATGATTGCTTCAGATAGGATTAATTATTTCAAAAGGGAAAGGTCATCACAGTTCCATGACAGCTCTCGGAGGTGAAAAGTGAGCGTCACTGCACGTTTTGAATCAATGTGTATATTCACACACAATTTAATTAATCACGTTTGCGCAATCAAATCAGCGGAGATTGTACGCTTTAGAGCGGCGCGGTTAGTTTTAAATTTTTTCAGTTACTGTAAAAAAAACTGACAAAAATTGATCAAAACCGTTGTAACGCTACGTAGAATGTGTCAGCTGCATATGTATTAGGGTGGTTCAAATCATCGATGCAGTGTTGCCTGTTGATCAGTCGATCAATCATATCAGAAAGTTGTCGACTTGGACATCAATTAATAACTAATTTTCTTGACGTTCATCCAAAAAGTGGTCTTAAGCAAAGTTGTAGCTGGGAAAATTTCACATAAGCATAGATAGCAAAATTTTCCGTATATAGTTATGGCAAAACGCTTGAACGACGAGAACAAAAAGCTGGTTCGTCTCCGTAACAAAAAGTTAGCTTTTCCCATAGTTATGCAAAGTTTCTAGGAAATCGGAGAATGTCACGCCCAATCGATACGTAGTTGGTATGGAATTGGTCATCACAGAAAGTATCCAAATATAGTCAACTCTCTCTTTATCTAAATTCTGCCTAACGCCATGGAAATCTAGACAACATTTATCACTTTTCATACACAAATTTCTAAAAATTCCTTCGATATTTTAAATTGAAAATAAGTGCCGTTTTTTTATTATTTCGCCTTTGACCTCACGAAAATCGCCAATTATATTATAGCTCACTGTTTTAGACTAAAGGCCTCTAAAACCCGCCATCTCGGGGAAAAAAGGCTTGCTGATGCAGATTTAATAATTTTGTACGGTGAGATATACTGCTTACAACCCCATATCAGTCCCACATGGAAGAACAAAGTGCGATTTCCATAAAAATATTTCAAAATTTTTAGTAAATTTATTAATATTTTTCAAGTTAAAATCAGTTGCATTCAAGCTTGCAACTCGAAACGCAAAACTCTAACTTAACCTATGAACGATTGAAATTAAGGATTGGACTGATATACGATTACTTTGCTCGATAGGATAAACTGACTTGATGATGTTTTCACATTTTTCATTATCAAACTTCTTAGTTTTATTACATAATATGAAAGTAGATGCCAATTGATAATCGATAGCATTGTTGTCTCAAAATTTACTCTCCTATGATTCTACGGTGGGGGAAAACTCAAGGGCTACTCAATAGACTCAATAGAATAGAATATAGCATTTTGAGCCATCTCTCCCATACCACGTTGAATTTTGAAATCTGCATCATCATGTCATTTTTCAAGTTGGCGGGTTTTAAAGGACCTGTACTGATTGAAAGATTCCATTCAAATTCTTGCTACTTACCAACTGTACCACCACCGCCAGTGTTGCCATCCTTGTCACTTGGCACTTCATGATGATCCTGACCACCATCGTTGGTAGGCTTCTCCGTACTAGTAGTGGTAGTAGTAGTAGCAGCAGTAGTAGTAGTAGTACCCACAGTTGTACTAGATGCTTTAGTGGTGGTCCCTGCGGGACTTGGAGGGGGCGTCGTAGTACCAGCGCTTGTCGGATGATCCTCGTCCGTTACCGTCGCACCTACAAACGCACAAATCTCCGGCGTCACTTGCGTCAGTAACAGGCGACAGTGGCTTTGCTGTAACGAGAAAGAAATAAAAGACGAAAACTGAGTGAGAAAATCAACAGCTAACAACAGATTTGAGACTGGAATTAATTGCTCTCATTAGAAAATGTAATCAAATAAATTCATGACGAGACAAGGTGATGGGATTCTGCTGTTGTAAGGGGGCTGCTGCTAGACAATTGGTGCGAAACAGCGAGAGAAATTAGGGTGCAACAACAGTAGGCACTGACTGACACGGTTGGGTTTCATGGGAAGTGACCACAGAGCGAGAGAGAAAGAGATAGAGAGAGAGAGAGAGGGAGTGTTTTGGAGATAATGAGTATTGTTGTTTACGTAGGATTGAGCCATGTCCAATTTAGCAACGACAATAGATACAGCAAGGGATGGATTTGAAAGTAAGCTTCAGTGGATTAGGTAACTCTGTGGTGCGATAAGATTGAGATGGATTTTAGGTAATATTCAAGCTCCATGTCAAGGAGAGGAGGCCTGGCATGTCGTCCATTTCATAGGTGCAGTTCTTAATGGAATAGCAACATTGACGTATACAGTCGATGTTGCATCAGAACCAGTGTTGGAAATATTGCCAAAAGTTCGTTATCACAAGCGAGATGTTTTCGGTACGGAACTTTGCGATGATTTTGCAAAGCGTTATTTCCCGAGTGAACTTTCGTGCTTGAGATTGAGAAGAACTAATATCACTTCCGTTTTGACTCACCACGGAGAGAGAACGTATGTGCTGAAATATTTTTTTCGTTCCCGATGTGTGATGAAATAGATCGCGAGCTGTGACTCGTGTGAGGAGTCGTGACCTTCTTTATTGGTACCGTAAAACGGGGTAACATTGATAGTTTTTTAAAGTGTATTCTAAATATTGTTAACAGCAATGAATGTTTTTCAAATTTTATATTTTTAAAACAAGTACTATGGATCCACGAGTTAAATCGTTAGTAATATGTTGAACGAAAATTAAAGCATTTGCACTATTTTATTAGTTTTATGACCGAACTTTAGTATTTTGATTTAGGGTTACTTTGATAATGCTCGATGAATGTAGAAAAAAAAATGAGAAAAACTCAAACAATTGAGTTCTTTAAATATAAAACTTTGAATGAGTATATAATCAGAAAACTTCATAAGCAATAAGAATACAACATTGAACTTGTGATGGCTGTATCGGAAACACATTTCATAAGTGATGGTTTGTGTGCTTTTTCAAAAAGGTGAAAAACACGAAAATGGTTTGTTAATATTTTTTGTAAAATATGTAACACATACTATATAAAAACTATATACGATATCAACGGAAATACCCTAAGCTACAATATGGAATCAATGTTTCTTATTTGGAAAAAGCACAGCGAGTAAATTTATTCTTTATATTATATTATCAAAGTTACCCGCATTATCAATGATGCCCCGTTTTACGGTAACTCTAATTGTAACGGGTGTTCAATAAAAAATGAGAATGATTTCAGTGCCGCCCAGCGCTCTTGTGAGAGCATCGTGACTAAGTTGCGTCGTACGGCTGACCAGGGCCCCTTCTCCAATAGTCATAGACGTTCTTTTGAAGAATAAACATTATGTTTTTAATAAAAAATACTGAATTCGTTGAATTTTTTTTTTACTAGCCGTATGATTAAAAAAAAATCTCATGATTTTATTGAATTGCTGTTATGAGTAACGTAAAACAGTACCAATTGTCCATTAGATCGAATAGTTTTTAAATCAGAAAGTTTTATCTAAGACAACAAATCAAGAAGACTGGCAACTCTTCCATTTTCTCATACGAACGCTATGAGACAGGTACAATCGCGTCATCTGCCGCTCAAAGGTGAATGCTTCGAATGAATTTTATAGCAAAGATTACATCCTCAGAAGAAGGGTTTGTGTATTTGCTCATTTTTCTATGCGTTGCTTCCACCTTCACTCAAGCGCAGCGCCATTGTATCTGTCGCTTGGATTCTGGCAAAGTTGCCAGTCTTCTTGATTTGTTGTCTTCGGTTTTATACATGAACACACTCCAGGTTTTGAGAAACTTGTCAGAACTGGTATTAGAATGTGAAGTCTGGTGGATTTGCCCTCCTAAGGTATGAGTTTGGCTTGTTTTTTTACTAACACTCGATGGTGCCCTTGAATTTCAGTCAGAGTGTTCTGCCCCTGGGCCTTTACTGTACATGACCTTACAGCTCTGATGATTTACTCTACAAGATGTTGGCCTTGCCCCAGTGCTTCGAATTGGCCCCCAAGTCCATCGGGCCAACTTGGGGAGACCACTGTGTATGCTTAGGAAGTTTTCTGAACTTACTGGTGGGAGATGTGCCCAAAGTTAATTAAATACTAAATAAACTTGCCCCAAGGGATCATTGAACTTATCTCCTAGATGGTTCTTTGCTTCTTCTTCTTCTTCTTCTTCTTCTTCTTCTTCTTCTTCGCATTTCCAGCTTATTGCATATCGCATATTAGTTTATTGCGTGCTCTCAACTTAGTGTTCTAGATGCACTTCCACCGTTATTAATTTACTTATTTCGTCAAGCAAAATTAGACTACTTACAATGGTTTCAGTGTTTTACTTACATGCTATGTATTATTTCTATTATGTTTTAGTCGGGTTTTCATTTGTTCTTTCGGCATAGTGATGCTAATGACTTCGCAGTGTACTGTCGCATCATTCGATTGATGGGGCCATTTTTTGCGTAATTTGTTCTGTGTGGTTTTTCTGAGAATAATTTCCGTTTTCTAAGATAACAGTTTAATTGTGAGAGTAGTTCTGATGATCCGATGCGGTGAAATAATGCCAAAGCATTGCTAACTTGTGGAGTTCTTTGAGTGTTTACAAATTGATGAGCGTATGATGGAATGGGAAATGCGGTCCAATTCAATTTCCGAAGGGCAAATCAAAATAATTGTTTTAGAGCGCATTATATGCGTTCCTCGTGTAATAATTTAATAGTTTATGGGTCTTTAAAATTATAGCTGAACCGTTTAATGAAGCCCATTATACGATTGGCTTTCTTATGATGGTATTATAATATGCTACAAAAGTGAGTTTGGAGTCTAGAATTACACCTAAGTCCCTTACAATTTTACATTTTTCGTCTTGTTGGTTGCCTAAAAATATTTCAAAATGAGGTATGATACTTGTTATATTAAATATCACCCTGAATGTCTGCTGACCTTATAGCTACTGAACTTGTCATGGTGATCTTCATATATTTTAAAAGTTCTTCAAATTTGTCAGCTAATTCATCTGGACTTGCTGCACTGTGCGAGCCTTGGGCTTCCAATATATTGGTTTTATGTTAGTGGATTTATTCTCATAATCGCGACATTCTAATTGAGCATTCCTACGCCAACTGACGAATCGATCAGATTTAACCCCCTACGAATCCTATGAAACTTTGTATAATTTGCGTTGCATTGCGTTTGTAACGGAGTAATGCGTAGATTGCATACTGGCAACTGTCATGTATCTACTTTAACGTTCTTATTTTGATTGCTAAAGGAAAACTATTTGGGAGTGAATAGCTCTCCAAACAAAGTTCAGAGTAGGAAAAGCATGACAATTACCATTGACCGCCACGCCCATCTTCTCCGTTACTGGAGAGGAGATGGGTCAGGATTCGCTTATGCAGGCGATGCGACCATGGTAACTGTTTTCTTTTGGAGGAGCCTGAGAGTAAACCCACGGTCTTCTACTCAGTCAGCAAAAGCGGCAGCGACCAAGCAAGCCGAGCTCCTCAATTCAAATATTGGGACCTTATTTTGTGAAGTTCATAAGAATACAGATTGAAATATAATGTAAACAAATAAAAGTTAAGAGTCTCATCCGAATCAAACGATTCCAAATGCTACGAATTCACAGAAATTAAGTTTAAATAGATAAAAGTAGAAAAATAGGAACAATCTCACCAAATCAGTCCAAGTGAATCCTTTACAAGCAGCTCTGTCACGTTCTAATAGCCCTTTTTCCAGATTATTGACATTCTTTGATTGAACAGTCACAAATGCAGAGCATAAAGGCTGACTAAAAGTAAATTGGTACGCCCCTCGCACGCCGCTAGCACACCTCTAGTGCTGGGAACCGAAAATCTTTGACAGTGGTTTGTTTACACTTCTATAGAGAACAACTGGTGCAAGTTTGATCAAAGTAGTCGATCGTGTTCAGATATAACGTCAAATGGAACTCGTAAGAAGAAAAAAATATTGTGCACCAACACCTGGAAAATCCGGAGTGGTTCGATTCCAAGCTGGCTAAAGTGCCGAAGATGCCGAAAACAACAGTTTGTGGAGTGATCGTCAGCTGCGCAACCCCGGTCTTTCGATCCGAGATGTGGCGAGAAGGTACAACGCCAACGTTCAAACGGTGCGGAACATCCTTGCCAGGGAAGGATACAAGTCGTACGACCGTATTTTGACGAAACACAAGGGCTGCACTTTGATCGATGATAAAACATACGTCAAACTCGATTTTAAGTAGCTTCCCGATCAAAAGTTTTACATCGTGACTGGACGTGGGGATTTGCCGGGAAGATTCAAGTTTATGTTTGCCGACAAGTACGCGAAGAAGCCCATGATTTGGCAAGCGATTTGCAGTTGTGGCCTGAAAACGGAACCATTCGTAACATCCTCGACGATGACATCCCAAGTTTACATCGAAGAATGCCTGAAAAAGCGTGTCTTGTCGTTCATCCGCAAGCATAGGCATTTTTTGGCCCGATTTGGCCAGCTGCCACTACTCCAAGGTGGTTCTGGAGTGGTATGCTGCCAAAAAGATCGATGTTGTCCCCAAGCTAATGAATTCTCCGAATTGCCCGGAATTTCGACCAATCGAAAAATACTGGGAAATTTCAAAGCAGTGACTTCGACGAAGCGGCGGGGCAGTCAAGGACATCTAGCAAATGCTGACAAAATTGAATAAATGCGCTGATTCCGTTTCCGTTTCCACTGTGCGGGCGCTAATGGGCTTCATCAAGAGGAAGGTTCGAGATTTCGTTCGAACTGGAGAAATGTAA